CTAGTAGCAATCTCCATATCCCATAACTACATGCCCCGTAGGTATTAGCAAGTGGATCCACATAGATGCTATTATGTATGTTCTACCTTAGGCAAGTAGGACCTCTCTTTTTGGTGTGGGAGTACAACTCCGGATTCCATGTAGCTCACATGGTCTATGTCGGTTAAGGCTATTATCCCTAAATGACATGAATACGAGCTAAGATAAGAACATGGACTCTAATCATGACTTCTTAAGAAGTACTACTTAGTATGAGTGATGGTATGGGACTTCACCCATACAATGCACAAGTGGACCTTAAGAGGGGTTATAGTTAGGTCCTTTTATGTAATGAAGACTTATGAATTATGTATGTCTGATATGAATGAATGTGAAGTTTGACCTTACTTATTACAAGTTATGATTATGAATGTCTCATTACTTGTGTATGTTGGCTCTGAATGAATCAAAAGGAAGATATGTATGTTGTTGGTGATCTAAATGTGATACTTAGCATTTGGTAAGGTTATGGGATATTACCTTTGCATCGCACTAGTATGACTTTGGGTTGCTTATATGTTAGTATGAACTTATGTTAAATATGATCATGGTGGCCTAGAAGTGATACTTCGTATAGGTAGGACTATGGACCCTATCTATGCATTGCACAAGTAGAGCTTAGGGTTACTTATGTTGTTGTTCTATTATGATGTTATGATCTTGATGTGTGACTATGCATGTGTATTATGTCTTGTAATAGATGGTATGTGCATTATGACTATGTTTGGAGACTATTCATATGGTAATGTTGTTATCCAGTGCTTTGATGAACTATATGTCAGTTGTTTATGACTTATGTTCTCCAACTCTTTTAAGAATAATGTTCAAAAGTGCATAGCATGGTTCCAACTAAAATGTCCCCTTCCTATCATGTTTTAAATGTTTTTATGCATAGCTACCATACTTAGTACATTCTTGTGCTAACCCATATTTCTATGTTTTCTACAAATGTAGGGGGTTGGCTTATGGGGATGCTACCCTTGGTTCAAGCTTGGAATAGGTGATCCTCCAAGCTAGTTGATGAGTCCAGAAGTTCGTGTACGAACATCTTATGTAGCAGTTTTCTTAGTAGTTTCTTTTGGTAGTTTTATTATAAAATTATTGTTAGGGTTGTATCCCTATATGTTTAAGTGTGTGATTATACTAGATGGCCAATGAGACAGTGTGTAGACTCCTTTCTATTTTTATAAAAGTGACCTCGATTGTTGAAGAAAAAGTTTTAATTTTCTGCATTTTATGCAATGACGTATGTTAAGGCCTTGTATGAGACCCCTTCGACGTCAAGTTCGCCGTGTTACGTGTAGGGGCTAGCCCGGGTCATGACAGTGTAGGACACGGACGATGATGGCAGGCCACATCCAACATCGGCTGACCGATGTGTGCAAGCCACGGACGAAGCTTGTAGGCCACAGACGATAGGCCACATCCTACATCTGTTGACCGTTGTGTGTAGGCCACGGATGATGCAAGCAGGCCACGTTCGACGTCGATTGATCGATGTGCACAAGCCATCGCCGATGCGGGCAGTCTACGGCCTTTATCACACATCCTACATCTGTTGACCGTTGTGTGTAGGCCACGGATGATGCAAGCAGGCCACGTTCGACGTCGATTGATCGATGTGCACAAGCCATTGCCGATGCGGGCAGTCTACGCCCAATATCGATTGGCCGATGCGCAAATGCCATGCCCTATCTCACCTAACTTATGCGCGTAGGCCACGACCTATGTGGGGATACAACAGCCTATGTCGTCTGGCTGATGCACGTAGGCCACAACCTATGTGGGCATGCCACAGCCTATGTCGCCTGGACGATGCGCTCAAGCCATGATCGATGACGCCTGGTTTATGCGAGTAGGCCATGGCCAATGTTGCCCTGCCAAAGTGCACAGGCCACGTCTAATGCGTGCAGGCCTTCGCTGATTCTACCTGTCGTT